CACATTCAGCTCCAGTTTACACCACAGCACCTCACTGCTCTCATGTAGTTTTATTTTCATATAGTATACACTGTAGTACCTGTAGTACTGTGCTCGTGTAGTAGTATTTTCATATAGTATACACTGTAGTACCTGTAGTACTGTGCTCGTGTAGTAGTATTTTCATATAATATACACTGTAGTAGTACTGTACTCGTGTAGTAGTATTTTCATATAGTACACACTGTAGTACCTGTAGTACTGTGCTCGTAGTAGTATTTTCATATAGTACACACTGTAGTACCTGTAGTACTGTGCTCGTGTAGTAGTATTTTCATATAGTATACACTGTAGTACCTGTAGTACTGTGCTCGTGTAGTAGTATTTTCATATAGTATACACTGTAGTACCTGTAGTACTGTGCTCGTGTAGTAGTATTTTCATATAGTACACACTGTAGTACCTGTAGTACTGTACTCGTGTAGTAGTATTTTCATATAGTATACACTGTAGTACCTGTAGTACTGTGCTCGTGTAGTAGTATTTTCATATAGTATACACACTGTAGTACCTGTAGTACTGTGCTCGTGTAGTAGTATTTTCATATAGTACACACTGTAGTACCTGTAGTACTGTGCTCGTGTAGTAGTATTTTCATATAGTACACACTGTAGTACCTGTAGTACTGTGCTCGTGTAGTAGTATTTTCATATAATATACACTGTAGTACCTGTAGTACTGTGCTCGTGTAGTAGTATTTTCATATAGTACACACTGTAGTACCTGTAGTACTGTGCTCGTGTAGTAGTATTTTCATATAGTATACACTGTAGTACCTGTAGTACTGTGCTCGTGTAGTAGTATTTTCATATAGTATACACTGTAGTACCTGTAGTACTGTGCTCGTGTAGTAGTATTTTCATATAGTATACACTGTAGTACCTGTAGTACTGTGCTCGTGTAGTAGTATTTTCATATAGTACACACTGTAGTACCTGTAGTACTGTGCTCGTGTAGTAGTATTTTCATATAGTACACACTGTAGTACCTGTAGTACTGTGCTCGTGTAGTAGTATTTTCATATAGTACACACTGTAGTACCTGTAGTACTGTGCTCGTGTAGTAGTATTTTCATATAGTACACACTGTAGTACCTGTAGTACTGTGCTCGTGTAGTAGTATTTTCATATAGTATACACTGTAGTACCTGTAGTACTGTACTCGTGTAGTAGTATTTTCATATAGTACACACTGTAGTACCTGTAGTACTGTACTCGTGTAGTAGTATTTTCATATAGTATACACTGTAGTACCTGTAGTACTGTACTCGTGTAGTAGTATTTTCATATAGTACACACTGTAGTACCTGTAGTACTGTGCTCGTGTAGTAGTATTTTCATATAGTACACACTGTAGTACCTGTAGTACTGTGCTCGTGTAGTAGTATTTTCATATAGTACACACTGTAGTACCTGTAGTACTGTGCTCGTGTAGTAGTATTTTCATATAGTACACACTGTAGTACCTGTAGTACTGTACTCGTGTAGTAGTATTCTCTGTACTACTGTGGGCTTCCATTTGAAGGCAGAGAGACAGACAGAGACAGAGACCACACAGGCTGGACCTCGTCCCTTTGCAAGAGGACGACTCACACACCCTAAACCTAGACTCTGCAGGACTAGGATTTGGACCAGGACCAGAAGCTGGACCTGGACCGGACTTAACCTGGACTCGTGTTGGACCCAGTAGCAGAGCCGGACTCGCACCAGACCTGACCAGGCGCGTGTTTGTCGGCAGAGGACAGACCGGAGGATTCTGGTGGCGGCCGTGATGATCAGCGGACACATGGCTGAGGAACAAGTGAAGTAGACGAGGAAGGAGACGAGGAAGGACATGAGGATACACTGTAAAAACCCTGAACATGTTTGTTGACTTCAGCACAGTCTGTGGTTCTGTCGTTATGTCTGTTTATTCTGCGTTTATCACTTTGTATCTGGACAAAATTGACATACAAACATTTAGTTTCATAATCAAGAACGAGACTCCTGAATGTAAATAAAATAAAACTGTGTAGGGATCATTCTACAGTCACTGGACAATTCATCTCAGCTCTGCAGATTTTCCACTTTACACTGGATTATGAAAGAAACTGACCATTGTTTTTACAAATGATTGTTGATATAAATAAGTCGGATGTGTTCTACTCGTATATAGAGATTCTAAACAGATGCACACAGCCGCTCGCCGCTGGACATGTGAGCACAGGTGATAATTCTCATGTCATTTCATTATTTTGTCCCTAAATTAAGATATGAACATTAATAACAGGTTTGATTGACAGCTCTACTCAGTGTCTAAGGGCGCAAGAACTAATTCTGTGTAATTGAATTTTGATCTGGATTTTGATTTGTGTGTCAAACGATCTCCAAACTCATAATCAAGTTGAAAAGATTTAAGCTTAGTAGTAAGCTAAGTTTATTTTCATATACTTTTTATATAAATAAATATATTTATTTAATTTTTTAAATATAGGGATTGTAGAAGAGTTGGATAAATTGTTTATTTTGGATGCATTTATGTTTTTCTGCCTTAATTCCAGAGGTGGGACCAAGTCGTCGTTTTGCAAGTCTCGTCTTTGGCCTCAAGTCCCAAGTCAGTTACAGGCAAGTCCAAGTCGAGTCTCGAGTCACTGGTCCATAAGTCCAAGTCAGGTCCAAGTTGTCTGCTTTGAGCCTCAAGTCATTTCAAGTCTTTAAACCAAAGTACCAAATACAGCTTTGATTTTTGCAATTTATATGATTTTTAAACTAAATTATACTTATAAAGTCATAGTGTATTTATTTATGAGTATTTAAAGAGTAAATAAGAGTTGGAGAAATGTTAATTTTTCCTTTTTAAATGTCTGGACAAGAGCTTTGTGTGAATCAGTACGGTCAGAATAGAAAGAATTCAGATTTAAAAGTGTTTCTCAAGTCACAAGCCTCAAGTCCGAGTCAAGTCCCAAGTCACTGGCCTTCGAGTCCAAGTCGAGTCCAAAGTCTTAGTCCAGTTTATCAAGTCAAGTCTCAAGTCCTACAAATAGTAACTCAAGTCTGACTCGAGTCCAAGTCACGACCTCTGCTTATTTTATGTTCAAAGTTTATTTTATTCATTTTATGTTTTATACATCGCAAAACTGCTCTAAGGTTCAGATTTGTCTATATTTTGCATAAATTATCAATAATAAAGTGCTTTTTGTTGTTTGAAATGCTGAAAAAATGCATCGTGTAACTTTGAATAATTGTGATTTTATAATAATAATCTAGCAGCTCTAGCGAGTATTTTCAACCTCCTCGCTCCTGATTGGCTCTTTGGTCGCTATGACGCACACTCGGGTTTCCAAATATGGAAGCCGAACGACGTTAAACTCCCTCGGCGCGTCTTCGTACAGATTCTAACGGGACGTCTCTTACTAAAGCTGAAGTCAAACAAACGTCAAAGAAAGAATCAGTATGAGTTTTACAGTGTATGAGATGGACAGGTAAAAGTGTCAGACAGGTGGACAGGTGAGTTGGACAGGTGAGTTGGAGACAGGTAAAGACGGTGGAGGGGGGGGTGGGCGTGGCTTATGTCTCTGATGTGACCTACAGTGTGTATGGAGCGGACACTTACATCTGGACAGACAGACAGTTCCAAAACTCAACTGAAAACATCGATTATACGTGTGGGACAGGTGAGGACAGGTGAGGACAGGTGTAAAGGAGATGGGCGTGGCTTCAGCTGAGAGCACTGTAAAACTAATCTACTGTTTTCAGCATTATTGAGAGACATTCACTAATAAACTTTTCTCTTGTTTTTAATGTTCAGGATACAGAATAAACAAAATAAACTTTTCTTTTTGCTTTATTTACATTTTTATTTAATCTGTGTTTCATTTGTTCATTCAAAATAAGAAAATAAAAAAATAAAAAAAGATTTTCTTCATTATTTGTCTCCAAAATCAAAATGAAAAAACAGATAATGATTCGTTTTTTCAGTTTTTGATTTTGTGTTTAAATGAAAAATGGAAAAAAAGGATAACAGACTAAACCAGGACTAAACTAGGTCAGGACTGAACCAGGACTGAGTGTTGGGACAGGCTCAGAGGTGCGCCCGTGTAAACTGTCGGGTGATCAGGAATGAGACCAGGACTCAGACCAGGACCAAAAAGGGACCAGGACCAGGACTGAGACCAGGACCGGGACCAAACCAGGACCAGATTGAGACTGAGACCAAGACTGAGACCGGGACTGAGACCGGGACCAGTCCAGGACTGAGAGCAGGACTGAGACTGGGACTGAGACCAGGACCATACCAGGACTCAGACTGAAACCAGACCAGCACTCAGACCGGGACCAAACTGGGACTGGACCAGGACTGGACTGGGACTGAGACCGGGACCAGACCGGGACCAGAGTAGGACTGAGACTGGTTCAGTCCTGGTTCAGTCCTAGTTTAGTCCTGTTTTAATCCGTTATCCATTTTTTCCATTCTTCATTTAAACCCAAAAAGTGAAAAAAACAAATCTTTATCTGTTTTTTTTGTTTTTGTTTTGGAGACAAATAATGAAGAAAATAGTTGTTTTTTCATTTTTAAATTTTTTTATTATTATTTTTTTTAAACACACGGATTATATTTAATGTTTGTATTTACAATTTTAATTCATTATACTATTTACAAAAGTGATATAATATTGACCAACTCGAGTCCAGACCAGAGTGACACGAGTACATCTGTGTGTTTATCTGCGTCTGTAGCCGTATTTTTTTTAAAAAATTATTTTTATTATTTTCTCATCTAAACGAGCTTCTGTCGCTTCACAAACGACTTTTACAGCGCTCCAGTGAAAAAACACAAATAACACAGACACATGGAACACAGAGACCAGACACACACACACACACACACACATACGAGCACACAGACAGACAGGTGAGGGACAGACAGGTGAGAGACAGGTGAGAGACAGGTAAAGCAGGAAGTGGGCGTGGCTTCTGTCTTACCGTGGAGTCGCCGTCGGCCCTACGGTGTTTCAGGTCGCAGCTGCCCGTGATGGACCTAAAAGAGGGTTTCAGTTTGGGCTCGGGCTCTGCTCTACCACTTTTCCTATCCTAAAATAAGATACGGAGGGGGCACAGAGCGTTAGCACAGCGCTCAACGCCGACAAACCCCACCCGCTCCCCCCAAAGTCCCGCCCGCCGACACACCTGGACGTGTTTGATGCAGTGTGATGTGATGTGACAGCCCAAACCGCGCTCCTTCACCGACGCTCTAAAGTCCTCACGGGTCTGAATCGAGTTTAACGCACGACCGCTGATAACGCTACAGGCTAACGCTAACGGCTAATGCTAAAGGCTAACGCTACAGGCTAAAGTCCGGTGTTTAAATTCACGTTGTCATATTTGTCCATTAACATGCTCTGTCCCAATCACATAAATAAATAAATAAATAATGCTACAGGCTAATGCTAAAGGCTAATGCTACAGGCTAACGCTAAAGGCTAATGTCCGGTGTTTACATTCACATTGTCATGTTTGTCCATTAACATGCTCTGTCCCAATCAAATAAATAAATATATAAATAAATAAATAATGCTAAAGGCTAAAGCTACTGAGGCCTTAAATCGACGTTCAGACTTTAGCCGGAAGTGACCCAAATCTGATTTTTTGGCCCCGATAATCTGTGTGTCGCTTGTTCATTTGTTTTTCAAAATAAAACCAAAAATAAGAAAATGAAAAAACAACAATTTTCTTCATTATTTGTCTCTAAAAACAGGCAACAGTTTGTTTTTTCATTTTTTTGTGTTTAAATGAAAAATGGAAAAACAGATAATGAAAACCAGGACTGAACCAGGACTAGACCAGGTCCAGGACCAGACTGGAACTAGATCGGGACTGACATCAGGACTGAGACAGGGACCGAGACTGGGACTGAGACCGGGACCATACCAGGAAATGGTTTAGTCCTGGTTCAGTCCTGTGTTTAGTCCTGGTTAAGTCCTGGTTTAGTCCTGGTTCAGTCCTGGTTTAGTCCTGGTTCAGTCCTGGTTTAGTCCTGGTTCAGTCCTGGTTTAGTCCTGGTTCAGTCCTGGTTTAGTCCTGGTTCAGGCCTGTTTTAATCTTGTTTTATTTCTGGTTTAGTCCTGGTTTAGTCTTAGTTCAGACCTGGTTTAATCCTGATTCAATCCTGGTTTAGTCCTGTTATTACCTCCGCCAAGGAGGTTATGTTTTTGCCAGCGTTTGTCTGTTTGTTTGTTTGTCTGTTTGTTTGTTTGTCTGTTTGTTTGTTTGTTTGTTTGTTTGTTTGTTTGTTTGTTTGTTTGTTTGTCTGTTAGCAACATAACTCAAAAAGTTATGGACCGATTTTAATGAAATTTTCAGGATTTGTTGGAAATGTGAAAAGGAAAGAACTGATTTCATTTTGGGGTGATCCGGAAGAAATCCTGGATTCTGGATCACTTTGAAATTTTAGTTAACATTGTGGTAAATGGGGCCAAAAATTTTGTTTCTCAATATCTCGATTAATTATTGACCAAACCCCATGAAATTTGACTCAGGGATGGACAATGGGATCCTCTTTCATATTCCAAATTGAAAGATACGAGACAAATATTTATGGAAAACACAATTAATATGAGGGGAACTGTAGTCCTTGGCGGAGGTCAGCGCTCTCTGAGTGCTTTTCTAGTTAATCTTGTTTTATTTCTGTTTTTTATCCTCTTGGTTCAGTCCTGTTTTAGTCATGTTTTAGTCCTGGTTTAGTCCTGTCATCACAGTTTAAGTCACGTAAATGTTTCTTCCATTATTCATTTAAACACAAAATCGAAAACTGACAAGATTTTTGAGTTTATTTTGAAAAACAAATGAACGAATGACGCACAGATTGAGATCAAATTTAAGTCAAGTCACATTTAACTGGAAACGTGAACGACCTCGCAAAAAAACTGGAAGCCTGACAGACCAACTTGGACCAGTCTCTGATCTGAGCCGGTTTAGATGGAGAGACCTTTTGGACTGGTTTGTGAGTGGATGCAGTGTGAGTGAGCCCCGTGAAACTCTTCCATGTCTACAGCCTGTCACACACAGTCTCATTCAGGAACATCAGCGGACACGGCTCAAGGCTGGAACGGTACCGGCTTCGCCTCGGAGAAAACAGAGGAACAGACGAGAACCAACCTGTGCACTGCCCCCTGGAGCTTAGGAGGAGTGACAGGGAGGAGAAGTGTAAAACCAAATTTGCATCAAAAACCTAAATCTGACCAAACAGAAAAGTAAAACTGCAATAAAGGATGTAAAACTAAGGATTTGTTTATGTTTAGTTTTTGAACTTTCAAAGGTTCAGACAATAACAGCACAAATGTTCTGAGACCAACAGCCCCACTCCCACCAGAGGTGGGACCAAGTAGTAGTAGTAGTAGTTTTGTAAGTCTTAAGTAAGTCTCAAGTCTTTGACCTCAAGTCCGAGTCAAGTCCTAAGTCAAATACAGACAAGTCCAAGTCAAGTCTCCAGTCACTGACCCATAAGTCCAAGTCATGTCCAAGTCATTTGCTTTGAGCAAATGCTCAAGTTCATATTTCATTGAGTTATGGGTGGGATCATATCAGGACATTTTCCGGGTCTTCGTGAAAACCCTGTGACAGCGTTATGTAATCGAGACCAGAGCGATAATGAATTAATTAGTTAACGCAAAATTAAAGCGTTAACGTGCCCGGCCCTTGTTTAAACCAAAGTATAACTTAGATTTTTGCAATGATATGACTTTTAAAGTAAACTTTACTTAAAAAGTTGTGGTATATTTATAAATGAGTATTTATATAAGAGTTGGAGAAATCTATTTAGTTATTTTTTTTCTTTTTAAAAGTCTTGATAAGATCTTAGTGTGAATCATTATGGTCAGAACAGAAAGAATTCAGATTTAAAAATGCTTCTCAAGTCACAGGCTTCAAATCTGAGTCAAGTCCCAAGTCACTGACCTTTAAGTCCAAGTCAAGTCCCAGGTCTTAGTCCATTTTATCAAGTCTAGTCTCAAGTCCTAAAAATAGTGACTCAAGTCTGACTCAAGTCCAAGTCCCACCTCTGCCACAGTCAGAGTCAGAGCTGGACCAGGTTCAGTCTGACTGAGGCGTAAATCTGTAACTTACATAAACATTTTGGACCTGAGGCTGATCTGGTTTTGGACTGAACGGGGTTTGACGGACTGTGACTGCTGGACTTCAAAAGCTCCTTGTCGTGTTTTAGTGCAGAGTTCTGGATGTTCTGCGTCTGTATTCTGAGCCGTGCCGTTCCAGCCTCCTCCTGGTTTTATTCTCACATGAAATGATTCCGTAAAACAGAACGCTCCGTTTTACTGCAACGATCAGTGTCCACAAACACACCGCCGGAGCGTCAGCGTTAGCGCTCGCTCCCGGGCGAAATATGACACACATGAGGACGAGCCCAAGCAAAGCAGAGGGTCCTGACACCGGGGTCAAAGGTGGGGGGTCAGGAGGGGGCGGGGTTATCACACACATGGGCGGGGGGGGATGGATGGAGCGATGTGTGGGGGTCCATTATAACAGAGCTGCTATAATGCCACTTCCTGCGGTGCGATGATGTCACGTCCTGCTGAGGGAAAAGGGGAGGAGCCTGAGTGAGGTTAGAAGAACAGGAATGGCAGCAGCACGGATGGTCCAGCAGCGTGAAGTGACCGGAGCTGGAGACGACTCGGGTTCAGGTTCTGTGGACTGGAGTAACAGCGTCAGGACCAAACAGAGGTCACCAGAGACTCTGTGCTCCAGGCAAAAGGACCAGAACATGTGAAAGTAGAAGCTCAAATGATGCCCATATGACACCCACATGAGGTCCAAATGAAGCCCTCAGACCTTCTGCTCGTTTGATCATGAGCCTTCTGTCTATGATCAAACAAGCAGAAGGTCTGAGGTCTTTTTACAGCAAAGTACAGAAGTATTTGTACCACGAGCTGCACCTCAGTAACATCCCAGTGTGATGAATCTAAAATAGATGCTTTGGCCTTTTTCAGTCTTTTTAAAATTATCATGGCTCAGTTAAAACTACAATGCAGCCGTGTGAATGATCCACAGTCCTGACCTTCGAATGTGTTTTTAAAAGTTGTTTGTAAAATCCCTCAGTCGTATAGGTAGAATCCATGACAAAGGAGAAATTCAATTTGTCCACTGGACAAATGTTTATTTACCTTATTTCACCTAAAAACCTCAGGTCACTCTTTCGAAGACAGTGAGGTGCAGATCTGTAGTCAGGCTGGCACCACCTAGTGCCTCCTCTCAATTTCATTTCTCTCCAGCGACCAGGTCAGGAATCAGAAAACACTAGACGGTTCACAAAAACTGTGGAAGTGTGAGTTCAGGCACCAACCAATCAGCGAAGAGCCAGAGATTCTGTGTTGTCAACGATTCCCGAGATCGAGGATTTAAAGCCTCAACAAAGAGAATGTTTGTTGAATTTTATCAAGGGGAAAGATGTTATTGTCCTTCTTCCTATGGGATTTGGAGCATTACAAACATCACGACCAAACAGCAGCAACTGGTTAATGAAAAAAAGTCCCCGCCTCCTGTCGAGCAAACGAATCCTAATGCTGCGAGGTCACATGGTTTCTACCAAGTGAAACCGGCTGATGAATCAGACTAAACAGATCTGAGCCAGAGAAAAGAATTAGTTTAAGAGAAGAGTTAAAGAAGCTATTTTTGTTAAGAAAGACAATCCTTCTGTGAACATAAATGGGACTCAGACTCGGACAATCATCCTCAAAATTAAAAAAATGAGCCTTAATTATTCTGCTAATTTAACCCCACACTCAGTACAAACAAATAGACCGAGCTACAAACAGAAACTGTAAACAAGTAGGGTGTCAGTTTCAGAGTAGTTTCAGTGTAGTTAGCTCCTCCCTTCAGGACAGATGTAAGTCCTCCAGTGTCTCACCAGAACTGAAGAAACAGCTTGGACGAGCTCAGAAACGTTTTCAACCTAAATAGAACTTTTGTCTGCAGTTGACGATTTGAATTTCTCCTTTGCCATGTTTAAAAAAAATCCCATAAGTCCGAACACTACAGCCACGTTGTTTACCTACACTCTGGAATGTTCTGAGAGCGGGAAA